CCTTATAGGAGAGGGATACTCCAGTTATTTCAGATCCTGGACCTACAGCTCTAGGAGAACCCTTATAAGCCTATTTTTACAAGGTGAGTGAGAATATCCTAATTTTAGTTTATTTCCGCAAATTATGATTTACAATGAACAATGCTCATTTCAAACTCAAATATGTGTTGTTACTGAGAACATGGGAAACAGTCCAGTTATGTTATGATTTCGAGTATATACTTAATTGCATGGTTTCATAAGTTTATGTTATTTTGGTGTCTTAGCACCCATACCATGATGTCGGGCAGCCATCTGGGGCAGGTGACAGTTTTACTTGTATGACATATATGTATGTTTATTGTCCCTAATGGAAAGGGACCATGCGCCAAAGATTGTGTTAGCTTGGCCAGGGAGTGACGACCTCTAGCGCGAGTTACACGGTGTAGTAGCGCCCGACATATTTATGTTTTGCCCAATGAGGACCCATGTTATGTTTTATGATTTTACTGCTCCCAGACACCTTCGGTTGTGCACATCCGACCAGAATTTACATGTGAATATGATTATGTAATATGATTTTTATGATTTTTCTATGATGCCCATGAAGACTCTTATAATTCATGCTTATGCTCTCTTATGTTTTATGACTTGCAAAAATAACATTTAACTTTGCATTGTTGAAAATTCAATTATTATGCCTCATGATATGAAACTTTTCAAGAATGTTTATATTGTTCAAATTGATACAAAAATTGACTGTTTCCACTGGGATTAGTTTGATTACCATTCACTGGATGTTGGTCTCACCCACTCATTTTTCCCCCCTACAGATGCTGAGATATTAAGTTAGAATCTCGGTGTTCGTTTTGCTTATGTTGTGTTTTGCTCATGTACTAGCACCAGGTGGGCCAGGCTGCGAGGATCTTTTTAATTATGTTTATATAGATTGGGATGAGTCATGTATTGGGAGGTTGTCTTATTTTTTAGAAAATTTTTAAGTAATATGTGATGTTGTGGTCTTATGAATGAATTACTATTGGTTAAGCATATGTGATGATTTTTTTAGCATAGCATAATATTAGATGATTAATGAAAATCTATTACAGGATGATTTATGCTTAAACTATGTATTGGATGAGTTATTGCAAGCTATTTAGTATTGTGAAGTTGGTGATATTTTAAGCAGGTACTCAGACATAGGGCCCTTGAGGCCAACTAGAAAGGGTTACAATAATCGGCATGCTGCCGGATTTTACCCCACGGTGTGTTGGTTATTGCCCGGCTGTCATGCTCCTTGAGTTTGTAAGTGGTTGGGGTGTGACACGTTCAATAAACTAAATAAAATTTTTAGATTGATAAAATTACAGTTTTGTTTGATTTAAAAAGAATTTTTTTATGATTTAGTTTAATATTTGATATTTAGATAAATTATATAAATCAAACCAAATTTTATAATTTATATATATACAAAATTAAAATTCTATATTTATATATATAATTTATTGTTATTATCTAGCTGCATATTTATTATTTTTATTATCTTTTATATTTATATTTATTCTAATAATTAATAAATTTTCTTTCTTAGAGTGTGATTTTTAGTAGTATAAGTGAAATTTTGTTATATTGTCTAAATATATTTGTTGTATAATATATAATTAGTACATAGTTAATTGATAAATAATAAATTTGTTGTGTTAAACATGTTGAAAAATTTTGAATTCGGATTTTTAAGAAAATTTTGTCAAATTTTTTATAAAAGTAATGAATTTAATTCATTTTATTTTGTAAATCACGAATTGTAATTTGAAATCGAACTAATCTTAAATTATGATTTGATTTGATTTTTAAAAATTATAAATTATAAAATATAATTATTTAAATTTAAATATCAAACTAAATTAAAACTGCACACACCATTAGATGAAAGCCACTCAAAGAGAGTTATTTGCCAGTCTTTCTGCAGAGAGATGCAAGCAAAGAGTCATGCATTTTTTAAAATTAAATTAGATGGTTTTTAAATGGTAAAAAGTTGTTGTTCTATTTTAATTTTAAAAATACATATTTTTAAGATTAAAAAATATTTTTGAAATATAATAGAGATGATGGAATATATATACATTTATTTATATGTATATATGTGAATATAAATATTTATAAAACATAAATATGTGTGTAGTTGTGCTCATGTAAAAGAAGAAAGGAGAGAAGTTTTTTTTTTCTTTACACAAAAGTGAATTAAGTACTTTTATGTGTGTGTGTGTATACTTATAAATGTATATATGTGTATAATTGTGCTCATGTAAAAAAAATGAAAAAAAAGAAGTTTTTTTATATAAAAATCAAGTGAGTGCTTTTAAAATTAAATACAACTCTGAAGTTGTACTTAATATTATAATCATTTACTCTATTTTTAAAAAATAATAATTTTAAAATTTTAATCATATAAAGAGAGCAATGCGTAATAATAAGAATTAACTAAAAAAATTAATGTATTTTTGAAGCATTAATCAAGCATCACGCAAAAATGGTTGTCACATTTTTGTTTTTATTTTTGAAGAATACAAAAAGGGGACCACGTCGTAACAGAAATCACCTCATCAAGTGCCACGCCGCACTCCGGCGTACTTTCCTTGGTTCATTGCACTTACCTTTTGCAAAACTCAGACATCGATCCAATCAGGTTCGTAACTGCAACCCCCCTTCGCAAGTCATGCTGTCTACGGAGCTGACGCGTGGATGGGCACCGTCAAATTTCAGCGTCTCCATAGGGGCATTAAAGTAATCTAGCAACAGAAAAAGCGGGCTCGGTAAATAATGAAACAATGCGACCCAAACCGTTCCTGATAGGTGTTCCCACGCATGGCGGCCCGTCCCCCACGCGTTATGATTTGCAAAAGCTTCTCCGCCCGGAATCACCCCTATTTGGCATTCGGTGCGACGAGATGGGCGCCCACCGCTTCATCGGCTTGGCGAACTGTCTTACAGACCACCCTTGCAACCCTCCAAAGATTTCATCGATTGAATTCCTCCCCTGCCCTAACAAACATCTTTCGTAACCATGCACTGTTTCCACACGTGTTATCAAAGTACCACCACCAGCTTCTGCTGCTATTCCAACTTTTCTTCTAATTATAATGGTTAGTGGGTCTAATTCATACTAATTATAGTAAATTTGGATTTGACTATAATATTAATATATTATATTTATATTTAATTTGAAATTTTATAAAATATATAATTATTATTATATTTGAAAAAATAATTTAAATTCAAATTGTTAAATTATTATGCATTTGTTATTTTATATTTTAGAAAATATAATCCTAAACTAAAAACTATGAACTTATTAATAATTTTAAAATTTAAAATAATTAATTTATAATAATTACATTCAATCTATAACCAATATTATATTTGAGATTGGTTTACTTATAATATATAATAATTATATAAAATTTATTGATATACATATTTTTTATTTTCGTCATTATAAAAAAATAAAATTATATTTCTAAATTTTATTTTAAAGAAAAAATATTTTATTAATTAATGTCTAATAAATTAAGTCTATATTGTGATATATATAATATTATGCCATATTATATATCATTTATATTTTATGTATATAATATGGACATTTTTTTTATGTGTATGTATGTAAGGATTTGAATATTTAATAGATTGAAGTTGAGAAAATTTATATTTATTCTATTTCTTCTGAATTACAAAAATTTTAAATTATAATATATCTATCAAAATTTTTATCAATTAAATATTATAAATAAGTAAATAGAATTTTGATAAGATTTGAATTAAAATTCACTTCATTAGTAACTTTACTTCAACGAATGAAGCGCAATAATATGCAAATGACATATTATCATAAGATGTAGGAGGTATAGGTTTATGCATAGTTATCAATTATTTGAATTTTATTCCAATTTTAATTTGAATTTTAGGATTTTAATTTGATTAAAATATTTGATACATCAAATTTGATTATATATATTTAGAATTCAAAATAAGTATATTTGATGTAGAATAAAATAATCTGATTTGTGAAATATTCAAATTCAAAATTTAATATTATTTTTATTAAATTAATAATTGTATATATAATATTAATAAATGTAAACTTGTAGAAATTAAATTGAGAAATTTAAAAAAATTAAGAATCAATATGAATAATGAAATACAGTTAAATGATTTAAGTGTAAAAGAAAAATTTATTTATCATTTTAAATTTTTATCAAATTTTAGATTATATACCGAATTCGAATATAGATTAAACAAAATAAATTTTACAGCATTTAGAATCAAATTTAATATATAAATAAATAATCAAATTTAAATTAAATTTTATCTAATTTGATTCAAATTCTGAACAACTTATATTAATATACATTCAATTCAATATTATAAATCAAAACCCGCAACCATTTTCATAGAATTGATTTTACATTCTTAAAATCAGTTAAAAGAAAGATAAATAAGACATAATTAATAAATTATTTTACATTGAAGATAGATTTTAAACGAAGAAAAATATGACATAGTAAATAGAATAATTTTACCTAATAAAATTATTTGTATGATAATCTAAAAATAAATTTAAAATTAATATAAATTGGAAAAACCACACCTAATAATGTTATAATACGATTCTCTTAAGATAAACTCGGAAAGAACGAGAACGCGGCATAATTAATAGGAAAACTGTAATTAATAACGTTGTAATAAGGGCAGAAACTAAGGACCCATAATTACCCTAGCAAAATCCCACGTCTCTATCCTTAAGCTCTGAAACACGTACCCACCGTACAAGTCCAAGTGTCGCCCTTCTCCCCCTCTACTCCTTGTGTTTGCCCGCCCATAATTGGCCAAACACCCCCTCTAAATAACCCCACAACCCCCAATTCTCTCTCTCAAACTCGAGCCCTCCTCCTCTCTCTCTACCTGCAGCAGATAGTTGCTTCAAGCTATTCGGGTCTACAAGACCCGATTCGCCTGTGACAATGATCCGCGCTTTCACCACCCCCTCCACCGCCGCCAAAACCGCCGAAATTATGTCCAGGTACCGGCCCATTGCCCCGAAACCGACCCTGTGTCCGAGACCACGTCGGAGGAGTCCCAGAAGATCGAGCAGTCACCGTACCTCCGTAACGTCTGGGCCAATTTGCAAGCCCGACCGACCCGCACCCGGAAGCGAGGACGGGCCGCTCTGCCTCTCCCACCGGCCGTCAAACGACCTAGACCCGGTCAGCTCTTCGGGTTCAACCCTCCTTGCTTCGTAACCCCTCGGCTCCCTCTCCCGACCCTCCTCAAACCGCCTCAAAACCAAATCAATCTTCCTCTTCTTCGTCCTCAAATTGTGCCTCAAACAATAGAACCAAGTAAGGCCATTGATTTGAACGAAGAAGCAGAAGTTCCCGAGGAGAAAGACTTGATAAAGCAACTAGAGGGACCGGTTAGAAGCAGGGTCATCGCGCCTCAGCCGGTTCGGCCGGTCGGCTCGAGCATAATCGTGAATAACATAAGGGAAGAACCGGGTTCGAGTTCGGATCCGGGTTCGGATCGGGTTCCGAAGAAGAAAGTCGAGGAGCAGATGGAGTCGGAGGTGGTGCCGGCGGTGGTGTCGGACTCCAGCAACAGAGTGCGGCTAGCAAATTCGGCTTACAGGTAGGTCTGAAAATTCGTGTTCTCGTATCATTTCTAGACAAAGCATGTTCCTATCAAAATTTTCTCAATTGGCTTTTTGTTCGTATGATTCTCTTCGTATTTCTGTATTCGTGTCGTGATTAAGATCATGAGCTAGACTGTCACCCCACTTGTAGGAAGATGGTCGGCCAGCCGGAATGCTCGTGGCTCGGCTCGGTGGGCGCATGCAAGAGGATTTGTGGAGAGATCGGAATCCAGTTTCTGGAGAAGAGAGTGGTGCCAGTGGAGTCCAAGCGGTTCTCTTGTTGGGTGACGATAGAATGGGGGAGAAATGAGGAGAACCGGTCAGTCCGGGCTTTCTGCGAGGCAACGAGGTTGGCCTGCGAATCCAAGGACTATCTCTTCGCATGGAGGTTCCATGCCGGGGAAGCATCTGGTTATGGGTCGGGACCCGGGTCTGGTAATATAGCTTGAATTTGATGAATGGTAAATACAGTAATTGTACATAGATGAGAGGAGCCAAGTACACCAAAAATGTACATAACCTACTATTTCAATACAAGGAATAATAGAAGGTAACTTTTGTCTGCCCTTTTGTTTCAAGGATTCAAGCTGAAGGAGGCCGTTGAGTTGAGTTAGAACTCAAAATTTTGAGCTTTTTTAAGAGTAAAAAGAAAGTGCCAAACATCGTCGTAATCTTATTCTTGTCTATCTGAACGGATAACTTTAGATTTCATAAGATTATTTGCAGAGAGAATAAAGCAATTGGCAGGGAGATGAAGCTTCTTTTTATTTATTTATTATAAAACTTATTTTGGGAAGGAATGCTGTGTAAAGTTGGTAATGGGTAATTTTTTGGTATTAGGTGGGGCCGATCCACTTGGAGTTGTCCCGGATGATTTGACCCGAAAACCAGGCAAGTATAAACTTGTACTCTCTCGGATAAGTTCTAGTTTAGCCCAGAATCCCCCGTATCTAGCCCTCGGTTTTCATTATGTTTAGGCCGTATTCCTACCCTCCCAAACTCTAACTTTGAACACTTACCATGTTGGTTCATTTATTTTGACAAAGATCACAACAAAATATTCCACCCAATCTTTGATTTGCGCTGCCAGAAGTTGTTAAAAAAAGGCTTTTTGGGAGGTCAACAATGTATACCCATGTTTTGTGTGTGTGTGTGTGTGTGTTTTTTTTTTTTGTAACTAATAAAAAACTCTCAGGATAAATCAGTGTATTTATGATAATACAAAAAAAGTTTTAAAAATTTAGAAAATATCAATGAATTACACACCCTAATGTTGCTTTTATTTCAATACAACCGGTGCTCTTTTCAATAAAATAATAATAATAATAATAATAATAATAATAATAATAATAATGATGATGATGATGATGATGATGATGATGATGATGATAAATTTGTCCCATGGAACCAAACAGAGCATTAAAAGCAGCCCATTCTTTAGCATGGACATATTCGAATAACAAGTCAAAATCTGTGTCAGGGAGAGGGAGCTAGCTATCTCATTCTTTGAATAATAACTTGGAGACATGCATTGAAATTGAGTTGCATCACTCAAACAGAAAGTTCATGTAGCATGCTTGTGAAGAAGTTTTGAATATACATTCACCAAAAATAAATGAATTCACCACGTGTTTTTAAATATAGAGAAATATAAATTATAATATTTAATGTAATTAAGGTTATTAATGGTTAAATTTAGATTAATATAACAAAATTCAAAATTAAATTGTATTAACTATATATTTTATATTTAATTTCGATTTGAAATTTTATAAGATCTATATTATTAAATTATATTTGAATCTGATGAAAAATCTGAAATTTGATAAGAAAAATTTATTTTACAAGAAAATAATACTTTTACGTTTAAATCTCTCAACTATATTTTAATAATTATATTAATTCATAAATTTTTTTATTTTTTCAATTTAGTCCTTACAATTTTAAATTTATTAATATTATATATAATATTATTAATTTAATAAAAATATTATTAAAATTCAAATTCAAATTTTTAATGAATATAATTGTTTAATTTTATATTCCGATTTACTTATTTCAAATTATAAATATTTATAATAAAATTTGATTTATTAAATATTTTAATTAAATTCAAATATATAATTTTGAATAAATTTAAATTAAATTTGTATTAAAATTCATCACATTGTAATAGTATAAAAAACTTAAATTATTTTTAGTAATAAATAATACAAACAAGTTAAAAAAAGAAGAATAAATTAACAAAAATAACGAGAATCTTTCCTCTCAAGTGTACTTCAAGAGTTGAGGTTGTACGAGAGTCATGGTGGACTGTCCTTGTGTAGTTAGCTGGACTTACAGCATGCACCATTTCATCGGCTTTTGAAATGGTGATGAGATGAGAGAAGCATACTTATCCCCAGAAGTGCTACTCTCAGACGACTGCTGTGATGTTTGTTGAACCGGCATAAGCTAAAAGCTGCTTAAAGAAAAGACAGGAAATGGGAATATTCAGAAGAACTTGACTACGCATAGCTGAACAGCTAGGTCCCGGTTTGGGTTTCAAGCCTGTCCATCTCAAAGATAAAAGAGTGTTTACAAATAGTTTTATAAAATTGGAAGTTGAAGTTTAAAATAAAATGGATAGAAAATTTATAAAATATGTTATTAAGTTTTTGAAAATAGTAAAATAAATATTTGAAATGTACTTTTTATAATTTGTTTTAGTATAAGAAAAAATTTTGAAAAATATTTCTAAGATAATTTTGAATTAAAAAAGTTTAAAAATAATTTTTATTTAATTATAATAATACTATTCGTAATTAAAAGTATCAATTCTTTGTATTTTTATAATCTACTTCTAGTGTTGCAACTTAAAAGAAGAAAAGTGGAAGTTAGATGTAAATTTGTAAATTCTATAATAGTGATTGTGTGAATTAGAAATTTTAAAATCACATTTTACGCGCTGTTACAAATACTGCTAAAAATGAATGCAAGTCAAAGCAATTTAAGCTATTTATAATTTTATAATTTTTAAAATTTGTTTAATTTTTTTAAAATTTAACGTGAATAAAAATAATTATAAAGTATATTAATAGATGGGTGAAATTTACTGAAATAGAATCAAATTCCCTTGTATCGTGCCTCCCTATACAACATAAAATTTGAACTCTATGACTTTATTTTATTCTAAAAAATGGAGAAAAATAAAGCCTTATAATAAAATGTTGATATAACGCTTTTAAGAATTAAAGATAAATTTTAAATTTCATGTAAATGAAGAATAAAATGATCATAAAGGACTTGAAACCTTTCATTTTTTTGTTATTTTTACTCTATTTAATAAACTTTCACTTAATTTATATATATATTAATAGCATGTAAAAAATTAAAAAATTTGATATTGTTCAAAATTTTAAAATTTTAAAACTAAAATAAAGTTTTGATAAAAAATATAAAAAATATTTGAAGTGGCTATTTTAGTTCTTAATTTAAAATTAAAAATCTTAATTTGTTACAAATTAGAATTAATAATTGTTTATGTATAAAATATTAGACAAATTAAGAATAATAATAGCTACTTTAAATAATTATTTTTGTATAAAATATCTAGATAAATTAAGAAATAAAATAGTCACTTCAAATATTTTTTTATATTTTTTATCAAAATTTTATTTTTATTTTAAATTTTGAATATGTGAAAAATTTATAGTCCATATGTATTTAAAGAAGTTAGTTTACTTAGTTTAAATTCTAATCAAAAACATTAATTTTGAAATAACTATAGTAGTTCTTAATTTATCTAATATTTTATACAGATATAATTATTAATTCTTAATTGTAATAAATTAAGATTTTTAGTTTTTAAATTAAAAACTAAAATAACCTTTTTCAAATATTTTTTTATATTTTTTATCAAAACTTTAATTTTAGTTTTAAAATTTTGAACAGTACTACATATTTTTATATTTTACATGCTATTAATATATATATAAATTAAGTAGAAGCTTATTAAATAGAGTAAAAATAACCAAAAAAAATAAAGGTTTAAATCTTTTAAAATATTTTTACTCTTCATTTACATGAATTTTCAAATTTAACTTTAGTTTTAATGAGCAATCAAAGATATGGTGCACTTTTTATAATTTTGAGAGGTTTTGGGGCCAAATTAAAAATTTTAGGGTGCAAAGTGCCAAAAAACTCTATTTTTGCGGTGTAAAATGTCAAATTTAAAATTTTGGGATGCAAAGTACTAAAAACCCTTATTTTTGGGGTGCAAAGTGTCAAATTTAAAATTTTGAAGTGCAAAGTGCAAAAATCTCATATTTTAGGAGTGTAAAATATAAATTAGTCTATTTTTGGCCTTGTAAAAGTTCTCAAATACTATTTGCCATGCGTATTTGATAGCCCAAAAAATCTTTAATTTTTAGAGGCCCCCAAACATCCCCAGTCCAATGTAATCTTATCAGGGCAATTTGATGCGTGGAGTTAAGTTCTCTCTATTTCCCTTATATTCTGTCCCACATCAGAGATCGGAGGCTACGATTGGGGCAAATAAACGTTGCTAAGAGAGGGATTATAAAAAAGGAAAAAAAAAAAAAAAACCAAGTAGATTTGATATCTCGGTGCTTACGGGATTTTAGTTTGTCAGAATTTTTTGACACTTCTATGTAAGAAAAATATAATTTTTCTTACGTTTAGTTTGTTTGAAATTTTTTTTTATTTCATTATTTAAAAATATTTATATTCAAATATTAAATAATAAAAAATAATTTTCATTTACAGTATATTTTATTTAAATGTTAAAACAAAAATACAAAGCAGTAAAACGAGATTCTCAGAAATTAATTTTTTTTTTTACTTTTTAGATTTCATACTCTATTTTGTAAGGGAAAAAAAATCTAAAAGAGCTGTAATTTTGAGAGTAACCAAACAACGCCCAGTCACGAAAAGCAAAATTTTTCGAACAATCTCCTGAATGTATGTTTTTGAATTTCTGATAAGTTTCTATTTATTTATATATATATATATATATTTTTTTTTTTTTTCCTTTCATCCAACCAAGCAATATTAAAGATTCAACTATTGGGATCCTCTTGGCAGCGTAAGAGGAGGGGGCATTATAGTCTTTTCCGGGATTAATGGAGGGCAAAATAGACAACTGAACTCGGGTGGTTGGAGAGGTTAGCAAGGGAATTTTATATCATGTACACTTTAATGTAACTATCCAATTGGCATGTCTATTCCTAACTCATTTGCAGAATGATTACAATTATATTTTTTTTCACGTCAAATATACTCATATGCACGTATTGTTAAGTGGAGATGTTAGTGAATTAAATTTTAATTTAGATGGGATTTGAAATTAATTTAAATTTTATGATTTAAATTTAGTTAAAATATAATATAAATTTAATTTAATTATAAATATATATAATTTAAAATAAATAAATTAGATATGAAATTA